ATTCTATAAATACTACTTATTTCAAAAAAATCATAGAAGAGAATTACTTAGTAGAGATTTCGAAATAAACATGATCACAAATCTTCTGAAACTAGTTGTAGTAAGAACTGGGGTTTATGATCCCTCTCTTTAAAATTGAGTGGGTCTGTGGTGGCTTTGATCAACACAGTTTAGCAGAAGGTTTACTATGTGTCTTCAAATTTAAGTAAAAAAAAGTCCATGCACAGGTATGCCTGGATATTTGAAGTTAATTGGTTCTTAGAGGCATGATAAGCACCATACATGCCAAACAAATTGTCTGGTTGAAAATTTAGCAAATCACAAGCCAATCAACATGGGCAAGTTGTAGCTTGCATGTTGAGTACTGTGATAAAATTTTCTGGTCAAAATGCATGAAGTACCAAACTGCGTGAGTTTCAAAGCAGTCAAGTTCCAAAGTATGACTGTGGCTTCTTCTTTGATTCTGGAGCACAATATTTTGGTATTCTAAGCCACCTGCAACAAATACGACTCCCTCAAGAACATGACGCTATCATAGCAATCCCAAACAATGGGCCATGTATACATACTTCTCTGATAAATCACAACTGAGGCCAGGCACCCAATAATGTCTGAAGAAGTCACTTGAGTGTCTAATACTTCCTAAATGTATCTCAACTATAATGGAGTGAAAAACAAAATGGTTGCACCCCTTTTCAATTCTATATCTACAGAATGTGTAAGCTCTAATAAAACATCTACTGTTTAAAATCATTCTATTTTTAGTTGGGTGTTTTTATCAAGAGGTGACTGAATTCAATGAGTTTCTACAAAACATCACACTAGTAAGCATCATAGTGAGGCTTACTATTGAAACCCTTTTCTATGACTCTATGCCAATTCCTACTATTTTATTTAACACTGATAAAACAGGGACAAGGTCCCACTCTGGTAAGGAAATTTGAGGAGGAAAATAAAATTTAAGTGAAATAGGAATAGATATAAAGAGAAGCTCAGATAAAAGTGAGAGGAAAATCAGGAAATCTCAAACATAAATGTAAGAGTTAAAGGTATAAAACTCTTAGAAAAAAACATGGAAGTAAATCTTCATTAACATTGATTTTCTTAGATATAACAGTGAGTTATCAAACAATTAATGAATAAAATGGACCACATCAAAATAAAAAACTCTGTGCTTCAAAGGACACCAGCAGAAAGTGAAAAGCAACAATGTGGAAGAAAATATTTGCAGGTCATTTATTTGATAGAGGTTTCATATTCAGAATATATATAAAAATATCTACAACACAATACAGTAATGTAAAGACAACCGAGTTAAAAAATGGACAAAAGGTTTGAACTATAATTACTCCAAAAAGATACATAAATGACCAATAAATATATGAGATGCTCAGTATCCATAGTAAGTAAAGAAATGCAAAATAAAGCTACAATGATATAACTCTATATTCACTAAGACAGCTATAGTAATAATTTTTTAAAATACTACATGTTGATAAGGTTCTGAAAAAAATCAGAACCCACTTTCACTGCTGATGGGAATCTAAAATAGTAAAATATAGAGAAGCCACACTGACTTCATCTTGTTTTGGACACACCTAGTATATTAAGTGCAGGCCTTAAAAAATCCCCTCAAGTTAAAAGTTAAAACCATAAGGACAAGAAGGAAACAAATCATATAACCTAAGGATGCATAATATGAGTTTAGTTGTTTTTTATATCAGTAAAAGCTGTCTGCTTATGCTGGTCAGGCGGGAGACATTTTGCTGACCCTTGGTATGTGTGTCTCTTTATTTTTCCTTTGCTTGCAGAACCCCCACAGTATAACTAGTTTGGAAGCTGGTTTGGCAGTTCCTCAAAATGCTACATGCAAAGTTATCATATCTACTCCTGGTTTTATATCAAAAAGAAATACAAAATATACTTCCACAAACACCTTCCTAAGAATGTTATACAAGCTTTATTCATAAGCAACAATAAATGGAAACAAGAATGCCCATGAACTGATGAATAGTTAAAAGTATGGTATATCTTTGTAATGGAACAATGTATGACAATAAAAAAACCTATCACTGATGCATATTAAACACTGGAATCATTATTTATAGTGAAAGAGGCCAGTGACAAGACCACTGTAGGGTTTTATTTCTATGAAATGTCCAGATAAGCAAGTACGTAAAGAAACAAAGTCTTCTTGGTGCTAAAGATTGAGGTGGGGTGTGGGGAGAAGATAAGAAAGAAGAATAGAGAATGGCTGGTAGAATATAGAGTTTATTTGTATGGAAGCAAATGCATTCTAAATTTAGACTGTGCTGATGATCACACAATCTGTGAGTCCACCAAAAAACTGAATTACAGTTTAAATGAGTGAAGCATGTATTATGGTAAAGACAGCACCATAAAACTGTAAGAAACAAATACAAAAGTATACTATATACCATAGCTAGGTACTTAGATAATATAGATTTAAAAAACACTTTTATAAAGGAAGGAGCTGGGATTATAATTCAGTTGTAGGTGCTTTCTTAGAATGCAAAAGGCCGAGTTTGACACCCCATGATTAAAAAGAAAAAAGAAGAAAAAAAGGAGATAGTTTATAAAAAACATCTAAAAATTTTAAACCATTGTAATAGGTCAAATAAACAGAGGCAGTAATACTATTATAATACTGAGACTATTCAATTAAGCTTTTAATATCTATTACTATGCTAAATATCAACGTGAGTTCCCTAGAGAACACACTGTTGTTATTATGACTTAAACAGTAAATAATACCATTCCTATTCTTCTTTTTCTCAATTCTTATATCAGGAATAAGGTGATAAGAATGAGATGCAATCTTGCAAGTAATTTCATAGTGAGTAGGAGAAAGCCCTGGTAACACTTTTCCTTGGCAGAAATTATAGTATTTGACAAATAAAGATTCACAGGATACCTGCTTTGTGTTTACAGTTAAGCAAAAAAAAAAAAAAAAAGTCTACGTATTGATTTAGGAGAAAAGAAACAGTTGCCCTTACCAATCTTTGGAGAAAGATTGCTTGGAAAAGTAAAAGGAAGAACTTGAGCCTTCACACTTTGGGGTGCACACAAATTTCTGATGGGGATGGGCAAAAATTTCTGGTTTATATCCTAGAGGAGAAAAATGTGTCCAAGGTACTGGTCTCATTTTCAGCCTTAAAATGTAACTCTAGAAATGGCCTCTATCTATTCAGTTATAAATTAAGTTCCAAAGTCTTTAAAAGTAGGTTCCAATTATCTGTAAAATTTGATGAAAAAAAAATCAAAACAAAAAAAAAAAATTTGCTCAGAAAATCGTAACTGCAAAAACATGTTTTTCTACAATCCTACATATGCAATGCAGTACAAAACAAATGAGAAATTGAAGTAAACCAAAATACTAGATTGCTAAATCAGGCTCAGTTAAGTCACAGAACTTAGCCAGTATTAGATTAGGATATTCAATAGTTTACCCTAAATAAGGGTATAATGTCTTCCTCTGCACTGTTGACTGCAAGGATTTCTCATTAAAAGCTCGCCATTACTTCATTCATTACAGCTTTGTTGTGGCTCTGGGGCAGAGGCTGCAAATTTATGGCACACGTACTATTTATTTTTCTTTTAAGACAAAAGATTTTAATGTCTGAGTTATTTTCTCTAAACTACAACTTCAGTATTTAGATTTAATTGGAATGTTGGTACTTTGGAATAAACAAGTGGGTTCTGGGTTTCAGTCTGGACACTCATCTTTAAACGCTTTGCCATCACTGCTCTGGGCCATCTCCAAATGCGGCCTGTCTCCAGGAAAAGAGCTCCCTCTAGTGTCCCGATTTAGATTAGAAGTTGTTTCACCATGTTCAGCTTTAAGAAACATTGCTTTGTTCTGATGCAGCATTCCCTCCATGCCAAGACTAGTATCAAAAATTCACACAGAACATCAAAACAGAATGAATATGGATAAGATAAAACATGGGTTATTCTCATTGGATATCAGTGACATTTATGTTTAGGAAAAAGACTGCACACTTAAACTGTACCACAAAGATTGTCACCAAACACAGTTCTGCTTGGGTGTGTCATAGATTTTCCATAAACACACTTTGTCCTAGTCCAGAGAACACTTAGAGGTGTTTCCTATTAGTTAAACACATTCAAATCCATTTTCTCCCCCCAGTGGTCTTCTAATTTCCGTAAATGAATTCTATTCACAATCATGTGTTTACATTTGAAGTAGATCATACTATGGCAAGCAATATAACTCAGCTTTCCATTATACCTAGGTATACCAGGTAGACATTTTAGCGACATATTGTTTTGATTTACATTCACAGAATGCAAAATCTTTACTATTCAGAATCTTCCACACATATAATTCACCAAAAATAGTTAAGTCATCAAAAATGATCAGAATAGGTACAGCCTATATATCAGTAACTGAATGGTAATTATAGCTACTGAACTGCCCTCAATACTTCTGAGTTACCAAGTGGCAATCTGCCACTTTGTTTCTCAAATAACCCAAATACAATCTTTAGGTAGAACTCGTACTTCACCAATTCCTCTTCTCTGCAGAAAACAGATTGGGATTAGTTGTTGTTAACATCAGTTAAAGTTCCCATCAGATCTGTGAGAGATGTCTAAGAGGAGTATTTTGTAGCCTGAAGGCTCTGATATGGAAGTCACATGGTTCCATTCCTCTACAGAACTATAATTCACTTATAATTGCCTTTTCATCAGTAATTTCTTTCATTTCCATTTATTACCTGTTTTGACACATACCCTTTTCTCTATAATTAGGCTTTCTGGCTCCATAGATGTATTATAAACCCATAGGACCAGTAAAAACAGCTGCCCTGGTAATACTTTTCCTTGGCAGAAATTATAATATTTGATAGAAAAAGATTCACAGGACACTTGCTTTGTGTTTACAGATAGGCCTTAAATTGCCTAAATGGGATGAAGTTATGCATGCCTCTAAAAGCCTTTAGGAACATGCACTGTCAATCCTTTTGTGGCTCCTCACTACAATGACTGGACTGTTACACCACTGCGTGAGACTGCCTCCTCCAAACCTTGTTACAGTGTTGACGAATTGCCTGTCTGCTGTGAATAAAAACCAGAGAAATGACGGAAAGGAAAAAGAAGGGAAGGAAAGGAAAAGGAAGGAAAGGAAAAAGGAAGAGGAAGAGAGGGTAAAGGATATGACTGGACTGAACTGGGTGGGACAGGACAGGACAGGTCAAGACAGGACAGTATGCACTGTCAAATTTACTAATATTGATAATGTGTTTTGTGCACTGATAACACTTTTCCTTATTTGGACACGTGACATTAATCTCAGCCCTGATTCTACCAGATACAGCAAAATGAAAAAAAAAGTATTGAAGAGGAAATTGTATCCTTGTATTCTTTCTTATCACCTCATTTCTACTTCCCAATCCCAGTTTTCATACTCAATGTTAGTACAAAATCATTTAACTAATTAGCTAATCCTTAAGCCTTTATTGATTTAGTTATTTTACAACCAAATATATCTTTTAAGGAAAGATTTTCTAATGACGGGAAAAGTGTACTCATGTGTTTGTTTGTTTTGTTTTTTCCACTGTCAATTCTTTTAGTATCTTTTAGTAACTAAATGAATATTGCTAAATCAGTCCCAAGACAAAACCCCCCCATTATTCACTGTGATTTTTTGTTTCATTTGCCCTGAGATCTGTAATTAATATACTTATAAGGAGAGTACATGAGTTCTTTCATCACTTATAAGAAAGAATGAATAACAGTACTACTACCTGGACTTTTTCTTTCCAGCAATAATTAGATTGTCTAACACTCAGCATATCTATGTCCAAAGTAATTAGATTTTCTACTATGGAAGAAAACATAAAATTATTTTAGTTTTCAATCTGATTTCAAAATATGAACTCATAAGGTAGTAGATATACATACATACACATACCTAGTATATATGTCATTTCATAGTAAAAGAAACAAGGAATTTTGAAAAAATAATTTTATTTTTTTATTGGTACGGGGGATCGAACTCATGACTGCCTGCTTGTAAGGCAGGTGCTTATGCTGCTGAGCTAAATCCCCAGCTCCAAAAATAAATATTTTCTAGATGTAGAATTTTAAATATTCAAGATGAATGGTATATTCATAGCTGCATCACATAATACTATCAAACAGAAACCAGCTAGATATCAGCAGCAGCATTAAGAGAATTAAATCGTAGTCTATTCTCGCAATGCAATGCAAGAATATGAGAAAGAACACCCTATTCCTTAGCTCAATAATATGCACTGAGCAAAGGAAGCCAGATGTAAGAAAATGTACAAATTTTAACCAATAGGGATTTAGCTCTGATAGAGCTCCTATAGTGCCTAATGCCCTAGGTTTGATCCTTGGCACTACTAAACTAATTAAGTAAATAATTAATTTTAAAACAAGAAAAACCAATCTATGATTTTAGGCATCAGGGACTTGTTAACTTTGAGAAGGCAAGCATTGAAAAGGGCAATATTAGTGCTGTATATTTAATTTCAGTACTGGTATTATGATTATGTTTATTTTTTGAAACTGCATCAAGCTGACACCTAGGATTTTAAGAATGCATGTTATACTTCAATAAAAAGTTTCTTAAAAAACTATGAGGTAGCTCTACATTTTATGATGTGAAAAAAGACCCCCAAGATATATTTTGAAATAAAAAAAGAAAATTGTTCAGTACACAGAGTAAGATACAATTCATGTAGTAATGAAAAATGAGAATTTCTGACACATATATTCATATAAAAGTGATCTTAAAAGATAATTATCATTTATGTATATATCTCAGAATATTTTCATATAATATTCACACAATTAAACACAAATATTTCTAAAGGGTTGGACTATTTTAAAACCCAATGAGAAAACTGATTTTAAATAAATCCAAAAAGCAGAAGAAAGCCTATAAATACTATACTGTATGTATGAAAGTTTTACTGATCCCTACAAGACAGCTTTCTCATGGAAAGGTTATTTTGTCCCCTTGAATCTTTTTCAGACAATTTTAAATGAGTACAGTAAAAACTTTGGTAAATAATCTATAATTGAGTAACTTACTTGTTTTTCTGTATCTTTAGAAGGACTGTCACTCATTAAATCTTTAACATCCATCTAAAAAGTAAAATTCATCTTTGTATGCCTATTGATGGTAACAAAAAAGAAGTGCTATACACGTTTAAATCATATCTATAATTTTGTTACAGAAATATGAAGGACAAATTATTTTGGTTTTTACTTCAACCAAAGGTTTAATATGGCTAACTTTTCAATGCTCACCCTCTACTCAGGGCACATACAAAAGTGAAATTCATACAGCATTAACTGTACACTAGTTAAAAACTGACAATAATACTGAATTCTATAGCTCTGTCTTTTCAATAAGGCAGTTTTCTCTGGGTCCTAATACAGTGCATTATCTGGCAGTAAAAGGAATATTAGACATATTTTCTGGTAATGTACCATTATACATCTATGCAACCTTTAAAATTCTACCAAAAGAGCGTAAGAGAAAGCAGGAGAGCATTCACACAGACTCTCAAATGACAAATCTACTTAGAGTGAGAACTTTACTCAGAGCTGCTCAGCAACTTCTTCATATAAATGAGAAGATAACACAAAGTCATTTATCTGTTTTTTTCTTTTCTTTTTTTGTCGGTACCAGGGATCGAACTCATGACTACTCATTTTAATAGCTAAAGACATCAACTGTGGGTTCTGCATGCAAGGCTTTTCACTGAAGACAACACTTTGGCTTCATCAAGGAAAAAGTAGTGTGGTATTTACCAAGGAGAAATGTTACAAGATCTGCACTTTTTATCTTTAAATTCTGTTTAAAATGTAAAGTCCTCCACAACTTGAAACTTTATTATTTCAGGGATCAGCAAGGTAAATATTTTAAAACGAGGTACATTATTTTGGTTTGGGAATGCTGAGATCCAAAGCATTTTGTGAAATGGATTTATAAATGCACTAGGCTCAAATTCTATAGTTTTTCAAAAATACATAAAACTATGAAGTAAAAATTCAAGACAATAAATTATATGTTCATATATACTATTCACATTTAAATGAGATTAACCTCTGACTGTTGTGTCTACACTAATAAAATAACATTCTATTATCCCCAGTGCCAAAAAAAAAGAACATTCTGTGAAACATGGTTTTCTTCTATCCTCAACAAAATCTACTACCTTGTTGGTAGCACTAAAAAACCAATTTTATTCCACTAATAAGAAAAAATCTGTTAAGATATGAGAAAATATCTGTTATACAAAATACGTATTTTACGAAGCTTTAAAAAACAAACAAACAAATACAAAAGCCCCCCAAGAACCTTTGGATTTCCCATTTCCTCCATCTCCCTACTTCAAATTGTACCAAACAAACTTTGCTGTCAATCTGAGTAGCCTGAAAGCCATAGCAGTAAAGCACCACTCTCCAGCCATCTCTGGGTAGATCATGGGGGCATGACTTTGGGTCTGTATCTGGTGCTTTGCCCTTTCGCCTGGTGCTCTTCCACCATGCTCTGCTTCTGGCCAAAATCAAAGGAGTAGCAGGTCCTACAGAGACAATGGTTCAGCCCTGGAATCAGCCCACTATGAGCTTAACCAAAGGTGTTAGTATTTTTATTTCTTTAAAAGTATCAGATAATTTGTCACAGAAATGGAAAATCTGACTAATACACCAATTCTTTAAGTATTAAATCAAATAAACATAATATGACATCAGTTTAAGAATCAGTCATGTATATTTAAATAGGGAAGCTCGCTATTAATTGATTTGGCCAAGTTCAAAAGTTCATTTTAAATTTTCTTCTTTATATACAATGTTCATTCAATTTCTTCCACTTGCGACTCCAAATTTTTATCTTCTAAATCATTCTTCCTTTCTTACTGTAAGTACTTACTAGTGAACTGAGATTATTTATTTGGTAACAGACATCTCTCTTAAAAGTATGGCTACATACCCAAAGCTGCTACTTTGATGATGACTGCTTGAATATTACATGCTATCATCTCTCGAAGCAAATCTTCCTGGTTCCTGTGCCAAAGGTAAGCTAAAGGCTGGAGATTAAGCCTTTTACACCTATAAAGCAAAATGAGAAACCACTCAGATAATACCTTAATATTCCACAAGTAGGTCCATGGCCACTGCTTTGATTTTAAACAAAACAGTTTCAAGAATATTAGCATTTAAAATGATTTTTAAAACCTATTTTGGATTGGGAATTTAGCTTAGTGGTAGAGTGCCTGCCTACCAAGCACAAAGTCTTGGATTCAGTCCTCAAAAAAAGAAAAAAGCAAAAACAAGACAACTAACATGAACATAAACACGTCTTGCATAATGAAGCTTACCTATATAACAGAAACATATGTCTTTTCCATGGGCTATCAATAAACACATAAAATCTCCAGACAGACCAGAACTATTAATTTTAGTAGAAATCTATGAAAAAGGTTATAAATGTCAATGAACAATAAATACAATCTAATTTTTAAAACTGTCCCCTGGTACTAAAATTTTGTATAGTATACATTTAAAAATACATTTATCTTAACCATTTATTGATTAAATATGAAATATAAACTATGTGTATCTACTAACTTTGAATTTCATGATGTACTTGGCTTTGAATGTAAAGAAAAATATTAATAAAAAGAACTAATTGAGCATCTAATAAACTGTAGGCATATGTACAGATGCTTTGTATTTGTAGTAAAGTAAAAACTATATGTGTATGAAAGTTATGACAAATGTGGGTTTGAAATTTTATTCTTATCCTCAAGGATTTGGAAAGTCAAATAAATTCTAAATTGTGGTCCTTAACAACTCTAAGATCATACAGATAACCTTCATCCCAGGGATGCAAGGATTGTTTGACATATGCAAATCAATAAACATAATATGCCACACAAAACATCAAGAAAAAGAGATCATATGATCATCTCAAAAGACACAGTACAAGTCTTTGACAAAATCCAAAATACTTTCATGATAGAAACACTGAAGAAATTATTTAAAAAGCCTTATCTAAATAAGGTAAAAGTCATTATGAGAAACATACTGCCAACATCTCTTTAAACAAATAAAGAAGACAAGGTTGTCCATCACCACTCCAGTTCTTAAAAAAATTAGCCACAGCAATCAGGCAACAGAAAGAAGTAAAAAGGGTATCCACAGGAAATTAAGAAGAATGTCATTATTTGCAGATGACAAGATCTTCTACATAGACACCAAAAAATCCACCAAATTAGAATAACCAAACTCAGTAATGTGGCAGAATGCAAAAATCAATGCACAAAAATAAATAGTATCCCATACACTAATAATAACACCACTAAGAAAGAAATTAGGAAAAACTACTCTCCATATAGGTACCAAGAAAAGTTAACTACTTGGGAATTAACCTAACTAAGGAAGTAAAAGAGCTCAATAATGAGAATTACAGTATTCTGAAAAATCAAATTGAAGAGGACAATACAAAATGTAAATATAACCCTTGTTCTTGGGTACACAGAACCAATAAAGTCAAAAAGTCCTACTTCCAAAATTGATAGAGAATTAACTCTAATCCAAATAAAAACATCGTTCTTCACAGAATTGAAGAAAATAACCTCAAAATTCATATTGAACCAGAAGAGATGCAGAATAGCAAAATCAATTCTGGGTAAAAAGAACAAAGTGGGAGGCATCAAAATTCTGGGCTTGAAATTATATTACAAAACTACAAGCAATAAAAACAACATGAGTATCAGTGGAACACAACAAAAGATGCAGAAACAACACCAAGTATATTCAACTACTGTGCTTGATCTTTGATAGAAACACTCACTGGAGGAATAAAAGACTCTTTAATAAATGATGTTGAGGAAATAGGCTAACTATGGACAGAAGATTGACGTTAGGCCCACATCTCTCACTGTGATCAAATTAAAATGATCAAAGAACTAAATGTTAAAACAGAAACATTTAATCTTACTGGAAGACAAAATGGGTAAAACCCTTGAAGTTATAGGCATAGATAAGGATTTTCTCAACTGAATTTCACAGGAAATAGTAGCAAGAATCAACAAATGTGATCAAATCAAATTAAAAAGGTTCTGAACAGCAAAGGAAAACAACAACAAGAGAATGAAAAAATAATCTACTGAATGGGGAAAAAACTGGAGCAAAGAACTCAAAAAAACAGATTCACAAAATAAAAGATTCAATAAAAAAATGCAAATGAAATCAAACAGACACTTCACAAAAGTAGTACAAATGGTCAATACATACATAATGGAATGCTCAACATTGCCAGCCATTAGAGAAATACAAATCAAAAGAACACTGAGATTCCATCTTAACCCAGAAACAATGGCCATCATCAAGAAATCAAGTAACAACAAATGCTGGCAAGGCTGTGGAGAAAAAGGAACTTTTCTATATAGTTGGTGGGAATATAAACTAGTACAACCATTATGGATAATCAGTATGGAGATTCCACAGAAAATTAAAACTAGAGATTTCATTATGACCCAGGTTTTCCCCCTTCTAGACATCTTCATAACCACATGAAAGACATCGTACTATAGTAATAGATGCATACTCATGCTCAAAGCAGCACAAATCATTATACCTAAATCTTGCAAGCATCATATATGGTGACCAACAGATGAACGGATATAGAAAATCTGGTATTTATATACAATGGAGTACTACACACAATGGAGAAAGATAAATATGAGTCATCTGTAGGAAAATGGACACTTTCAGATCATAATGTTAAGTGAAATCAAGATGCACAAACTTAAATATTACATGATATTTTTCACATGAAAGACTCAAAATACAAATGAACAGCAAGAAGAAAGACAGATAATATGAAAAGGGAAGACCTTTTCAAATGGGAAGGGACCAACAGATGGAGGGACAGGAGAGGAAGGAAGAGAGGCATGAAAAATGAATTAAGATGTGCTATGTACAGGTACCAAATCTTCCTGAGGAAGGTAAGTATATTTACTGCAAACATGTACTACTATAAAAATTTAAGAAAGAGAATTTTTTACCACTTTAATCTCTATTTTAGGGATGGGGATATAGCTCAGTACTACAGTGCTTGCTTAGCATGTGCTAGACTATATAATTTCCAAAATCACATACACAAAAACATTCTTTGTCTGGATTTTTAACTATATATTATGTATTTTTCTTTATAGTAAGTAAGAGTTTTCTCATGCATGATGTAAGAACAGAAAAAGTAAAGTATGACTTTTGTTACTTAACCATATACATTTAATCATATAAAACATGTATGATACATTTATGATTTGGATATAATTCTTTTCCACTCATGCTGTTTTTCTCTGGTGGCACTGAGGATACTATGAAGGGCCTTGCTCACATCCTCTACCATTAAGCACATATTCCACCACTGAATTCTACATGAAGTACTTCACTTGTATTCTTAAAATACATATGCTTTCAACAAATTGATGTTCTCTTACACATTTTCTACTCGAACACGCTGATAGTCAGAAAGTATGGCACCTACTGATATCCCATCTACTTCTTCATTTTCCTGAAAATACAAGAAAAAACAGAATTTTAAAAATGAGTAAGTATATGTCTCTGCATTATATCTAAAAATTATGAATGAACCTGGTCTCATCTAAGAAACAACTTTTGAAGCACAATAATTTCTTGTGCAAAAACAATCACATTCAGAAAAAAATATACAAACATATTCCTAAACCATCCTTTCAGAAGTAGAAAAAATGTTTTCACTTTAAGTGTAACTAACTAGACTCTCTTAGGTTTTATTTTAAGATAAGCAGTGGTACAAACAGTAAGGCAACATGATGATTCCTGCCTGTATGTTAGAAAAAGATGCTTGAGATACGAGCATTCAAAAAGCAGAATCACTGTAAACAACAGCTATGTAAAAGAACAGGATAGCAAGCAAACATTCTCTTATGAGATGAAAGTGATGAATTATTACCAATACAGTTATAAGTGAACACATCTAGCAGTACATCTAGTACTGCCCCACAAGGACATGGACTATTCTGTCCAGCACACTCATTAATTACTGGAAAGAGAACGTAAATTCAAATATGATCCAGATTGCAGATGATACAAAGCTAGGATGGATTAAAAAGGAAAGAAGACCAATCAAGCAGACTGATAGATATGAACAACTTGGGGATTTGGAAAGAGAGGACTAAGATGAGATTTAATGTAAAAAAAACAAAACAAAACAAAAAACCAATACACTGAGGGAAAAAATACAACATGAATACAAACTAGGGAGATATTATCTGTAAAATAGATACAAAATGTGTACCTGGGTAGGTTACTAATAACAAACTGTGTAACCATTCTCTGAAAAGATGTAAAAGAAAATTTACCCATATGGACATACAGAAGAAACTATTTCATAGAGATGGCTTCGTTATTAATATTCTGGTCTTATAAAATATAGAAGTCTACAAAGAAAACAATAGGCAAAGGAAATAAGTGGTACTTCTTGATATATCAAAATGACCCTGAGACATACGGAAATCACCTTGTATGTCCTAAAAAAAAAAATGACAATAAACAAAAAGATGCACAATATTTGATGTGTTTGGAGATGAAGTGATTTTAAAAATTCCCCTCCTAAATATTAGTGAAACATCTGCTCAAATGGCCCCAAAACAAATGATTATTTCTATCAAATCAGATTGCAGGAAAAAGACTACTTCCTTTATTTTACTATTTCAGTCACTTTGTGAGAACAGTTGCTTATAATCTTTCTCTAATCTTTTGAGTCATTTTATTTCATAAAAGTCATTGTATTCATTAAGAAAAGCCAAAGCACTGTGTTAACCATTAAGTGCAAAAATAACACAAATTACAGTTATACAGTTATCAAAATTGTTTTAGTTATATCCTTACACTATTTATATACATTTCTTCCCTAAGAAAATGTAAAGTGCTACTGTATATGTATAGATATTTTTACATACATGTGCATACTTCTCCATGCATTATGGAAACAAGGGCTCTTCTGATGGTCTATCTAGATTATCAAATATCAAACCTCTACTGATAATTGGCTATTATTCATTTACTATTTACTAATATGATTCTCATAGGATCCTAAAACAATTATTTAATTTCTTTTAAAATACATGCATTCTCTGCATTCTCTGGAATTCTACTTCCCATCTCTTACACTTTTACTGATAACCCTTAACTATAGCTCCAGAATCATAAATCTAGTTAATTTCTAACTGCTCCTCACCATTGTTAATATAAAGATTATTACTTGTGTTTGCTCAACAAGTGTAATTATAACTCCCAGTAGAAATCCAAAACTATAATTCATTACTGACTTTGTGCTTTAAATTCTTTGTTGTAAAATGATGAAAAGTTACAACTTTCAAAGATTAGTGAAGAGATTAAATAATATGAGTAAATGACACAGTATCCTGCACATAATATGCACTCAGAAATCATTTCTTCATTACTATAATCTTTATTACTCCTACTACTTCTATAACTGCTTGTATTACAACTACTACTGAATAGAAGTTTAACAGTTTCATTTGATCAACAGCCCTACATTCTTGCTCTTTATCATTTCTCAGTATTGTAGACCAACTGATCCTTGTTACTCAACCATATAATCTAGTTACAATGAACTTCCAGCAAAACAAATCTTAAATAATCCAGAGATAATTAAGACTTCTATTAAATTCATCCTTTTGAACATAATAACCTTCAAAAAAACAGACCCTTTTAAAATGTAAACATCTATCATTAGACAATGTTACCTACAGAAAATATATAAGTAGGCTCAGTCCTTAACTCATAACTTTTACAATTTAGGCATAAAAAAGGTAGTTTAACATAGGTTAAAATGATAGTAGTGAATGTGTCAGCCAAAGAAAAAGTGAATGGCAACTAGATTAAAAGAGAATGAGGTAAGCAGAAAGATATAGCCACATAACTAACCTTGTCTCATAATTTAATTACAAATGAATATGCTGCATAAAATAGTTAAATACAAACTCTGAGGCACACAAGTTAGGCCACATTTAATCCAACTTCCCAAGATCCAATCTATGCCAATTAAACAACTAAAAGTTGTAACTGAGGTTGACTTGCTTTTTGTAACAAATGTATCATGTTAGTCCATCAATACAAGCTTTCCATATACTTAGTATAAACTATCTGCATTATAAATTAACAAACTTGCATCCTGGATTATACTTGAGTCTTTTGCTTTTGAAATTTTTATTAGTACTGCACATGTTTGTAGTACATGTTTACATTCCTTGGGTGGAATAGGTAGATGTACATATCACATCTTAATCATTTTTTTCATACCCTGCCCTCTCCAGTTCCTTCCATCTCTTCTATATCTTTCCTATACTTCCTATTAACTATCTTTTATTTTGCTGTGTATTTATATTTGGATATCTCATACAAGAAAAACTATGCAACATTTAAGCTTGTGTGTTTATTTCGTTCAACATTATGGTGTCAAGGTTATATGTGAGTCCTAACTCTGGTTTGTATTAGGCTATACAAAGAATACCAATAATTTTTTGGTATTGTCAAATTTCAGTTTATAGCTTAAAGAGCTAAATTGCAGTACTCATCAAAGCTCTACATCTAACTTAATGTGCCATACAACCTCTCCTCAATGGTAATGGTAAAGCTAATTTGTATGCTGTTGCTCCTTTATTGTTTCACTTAATGTTAACATATACAACAAAAAATGTTTTCTACAATCACTACTTTATGCTATGAATAAGATTATTCTTATTCCTGGGGAGTTCAGGCACCAACATGAAGGGATAAAGTGACATTGGAGCCAAAGGCCGAGGAAACTTTAGCAGAGGGGTTGACTTTGGGGCCACTAGTTAAGGACACAATGTTTTTGTTAAGAAATGAAAAAAGGGTGGTGGAGAACATTCCAGAGTGAAGAATATGAGCCAAGACAACAAAATAAAAATACCTGTCACATTAGGCAGTAAGTTAGATGGAGTAGCTGGAGTCAGCACACCAATAGGTAAAAGAAAAAGTAACTTGCAATAACGTGGGTGGGGTACAAGGCCTGCATCCTGAAGATAACCAAGGATTTCTCTTATAAACACACTTTTTTACACTTTATTGTAAATAATTCAATAAACTGTATCCATTTTAAGAGCACAATTCAATGAGTTTTAACAAATGTATTTATTATTGAAACTAAAACCACAATGAAGATACAGGTCATTTTTATTCCTCTCAAAGATTCCGTATGATGCTATAAGTGTAGCTCACTGGTAAAGCATTGTTTATTAGCATGTCCAAAGTTATGGATTCAGTGTCCAGCACCCAAGGCCCAAAAAGAATCCTTCCTCTTTCACAGCTCAAACCTCTCCTTGCTACTGACTTTAGGTAGCTACTAATCCAATTAGTTTGTATTTTCTATGAATATTTGTAAAAATATTTTAAATATTTTTTAATTCATAGTATGATACATGTATCTTTTTGTTTTTAGCTTCTTGTTGTCACTGTAATGAAATTCTTTCATGTTGCAGGTATATCCATAACTCATTCTTATTTCTTTTTTTCTGTTTCCCATTGCGTAGACATACTATATTCCATTTATCCATTCACCTGTTGGTGGATATTTGGTTGTTCTCCAGTTTGAGTTCTTTTAAGTAAAACGGCTATGAACTTTCCTCTATGTCTTTGTGTAAACATACATTTTTATTTCTTTTCGGTCACAGTAGAATTTTTAAGAAGTGAGATATGAATACCTTTTCATATAGGAAGATACATCTTACACAAGTCAGTAATATGGATAGACTACAGTAAGAGGAGTCTCTTGAAACAACTGAGGAATGAAGAGGCCAAATTTCAAAAACAACTTAGATACAAAAGTAGTAAGATTTGGTAGGCAACTATATATATATATATGTAGAGAGAGAGAGAGAATATATCTCTCTATATATGAAATATTTAAAAGATGAAACCAGTGATTCTAGTTTCATTAATATTAAATGAAAAAATATTTTAAAAGAAAACTAAATTTATTGATCTCTGCATATACTGAGTTTGATTTATTTAATAAGTATCTTTCCTACTTTGGCTTAGATTTCTAGAGTAAAAGTCTATCAACTTAGTGGCCTAAATAACAGAAATTTTTCTCCCAGAAGGCTACAAGCCCAGGTCCATGGTGCCAGCACTGTCGAGCTCACATACGGCCTCTGTTTCTGCTTTGTAAATGGTTATCTTCTCACTGTGTCCTCAAAGGAACAGACAGGGAGAGAGAGAACAAGCTCTCATGTTTTCTTCTTATAAGGGCATTAGTGCCGTGATGAGGGTCCTGTGCTTATAACCTCACAATCTCTCCAAGGCCCTATCTCCAAATACCACCACACTGGAAGTTAGAATTTCAAAATAGTATAAATCTTGTGGGAACACATTTCAGTTGATACTCAAAGTAGAAAATAATCTTAGAAACACTGGCTACAACTCATGTGCTAAGCAATACAGAAAAACACATGCGAATTGTCATCATGTACATGAAGCCACAGC